GAGCAAGTACATCCTGAAGGTCTTGGCAAATCTGCTTTGAAAATTATGAACTGACGCTACAGAATTAGAAATAAAGAATTGTACCAAATAAGAGAAACGAAATTACTTGAGGACTACCAACAGCAGCAACAAATAAAATGGATAGCACATGTAAATGGAAGAAAAAATAATGACGATGTTCCACACCACTTCAAACAGAAGGTTAGGAAGGAAACGTTCATCAGTAATGGAAATCATTCTTTCCATTATTGATGGGCGTTTTAAAACTGCTGGGCTTGAAAAAAACCTGTTTTCCTACAAAAGTTTTTATTCATTTCAACTTAAAGCAGTACTGGCTGTTCAGTCAATGAATGCTAAATGTTTCCTTATAGGGAAAAGGCTAATATTACCATTACCATTTACTCAGTTTCTTTCACTCTTTTTTCTCTCTTTCTTTTATTTTCCTTCCAATTCTCTCTTTTCCTTTTTCTCTCTTTCTCTCTAATTCACTGCTTTCTCTTTAATTTATTTATTCCTCTCTACCTCTTTTTTCCTTTTTCTTTTCTTCTCTTTTCCTTTCTTTCTAAGTCCACCTTTTTCATTTCTCTTAGGTTTTCTTTCTTTTCTCATCTTTTCATCTCTCGCCTTCTTTCCTCCTGTTTTTCTTTCTTTTCTTTCTACTTACCATCGAGCAAGTACAGAATTTTAATTATCTGGAAAGTGTTTGCACAGCGGATGGAAAATGTGGCACCGAAACCCGAACGTTCATCGGAGTAGGGAAAGATGCTTTTCAAAAGCTAAACAAAATATTTAGAAACGGAAAAATTTCGTTAGAAACAAAGAAAAAAACGTTGAAGTATTATGTAAAATCAATCCTCTTTTTAGGAGGCGTTCAAGATAGAGTAAAATGGATGGCTGCTAGTATTGAAGAATCGGAGTTCCAATTTCGAATTCCAGTCGTGTTCATTACATTCACTTCTGTGTTAATCCCCTTGGACACGGTATGAATCTTCTCCTACCAGCTATGGATAATTAGTAGGACTGACAGCGTTCTATAGCATTGGATGGCAACCGGTCTAAGAGAAGAAAAACTCTGACAAAACACATACTATGCAGCTAAGGAAAGGATTGTTTGCATTGACTCAAAGATCCTGACTAAGGTCGACTCCTTAACAGATTGGGTTCTATAGCCTTGGATGGCAAACAGTTTAGGAGAAGGAAAAAATCTGAATTCAAAACTGTATGGGTCCCTGCCGAAGCACATACTATGCCGCGAAGGAAAGGATCGTTCGCATTGTCTCGATGATCCCGTCTACAATTAACTCATATCCATTCTTTTGTATGCCAGAGAATACTGGACACTCTTCCACCACCACCCCAGATGAGGAGAAAATGGAGGCAACACAAATATGGGTCTACGTAAGGACACTGAGAATTCCATGGACGTAGCAAGGAATCAAAGAAAAACGTAGCAAAAAGAACACATATTCTCAGAATACAGAAAGAAGCGGAAATTTCTTGGACCGATTATGAGGAAAGGAAGCTTGGAAAACTTAACACTCCCAGGTCATATCGGTGACATGGGAGACAGGGAAAAGCAAAGATCTACCTTCCTGACGAACATATGCGAATGAATGGCGGAACTGAACGAGAGGCAAACGGCTAAACGCTGCTAAATGCTACCTAGAATAGGAGTTTATGGACAGCCATGATCGCCCACGTCCTGAAATAACGGCATATAGAAGACCAATCATTCTTTCTCTCCTCTTAATTATTGGTTTATTCTCTATCTCTATCCGACTTCTTCCACTCTTTCTCCAACACAATACTTTCTATTTTCTTTTCTTTTCTCTATTTGAATCTTCCCTACCTACCACTCTCTCTGTGTCTCTCTCCCTCTCTCTCTCTCTCTCTCGATATATATATATATATACATATATATATATATAGAGAGAGAGAGACAGAGAGAGAGAGAGATAGAGAGAAAGAGATAGTGAGAGAGATTTATTTTAGGATATTAAAACATGATAAAAATCGCTACATAATGGCAATTATGTTTCATCAACATCAATGTGTCTCCGCGGGCGATGTTAAACTCCTGGCGAGTGAAAAATTTATTTCAAAAGCATAATACTTTAAAAGATAGACTTGTGAGCTTTAAATAAAGTGGAATTATACTCTATTTGTTCTCATTATATATATATATATATATATATATATATAATTATTCATATATATATATATATGTATATATATATTTAATTATTCATATATATATATATATATATGTATATAATTATTCATATATATATATATATAATTATTCATATATATATATATAATTATTCATATATGTTTCATGCTTGAATCTCTCTCTCTCCTCTCTATCTATCTATCTATCTATCTATATATATATATATATATATATATATATATATATATATATATATATATATATATATATATAAAAGTGAACATTGAAGTCAACGCTCAGAGACGACAGGCTATTTCATGCTAGACGCAATCGTCAGGCCATCTATTTATATTTACATACGTTTTATCTCTGATGTTGAGCACTTTATCCCATAAATATAGCACACCTTAAAACTATATTTCTTCATATATATATATATATATATATATATATATAGGGAGCGATGGGTAAATTGTCTTCACTTTATATTTTTAATTTCGTGCATGCACGTTATTTGTTTTTGATTTTATCAACTGCACAGTATAGTAGGGTCAGTTGGGCACCGTCTGTGAGAAAAAGAGCAACATGACGCAATTCACTGTTAGGAAACAGCATGCTGTACTGCTTGGTATACGCGCCGGAAGATCCAGTACGAACATTTCAGAGTGTTTGGGTGTTCTATCTGAGGACAGTTCAGAAGATTCAAAAGATAGTTGGATGAGTTTAATAGTGATTACGAAGGTACGGCAGCTCGAAAAACCTATTCGGATCGTTCTGAGAGGAAAAGAACTCCCGAATTTGTTAGTGATGGCCTCATACTCAACACCGAGGCCTTGAGGAAGTAGTTCTACCCTGGGTTAAGAGAGTGGTTGCTAGAATACCCCATGTCAGGCAACAGGACTCTGCACTATGCCACACAAGCAGAAGAACCAAGTCATCGCTGTCAGAGATTTTCTGCGATCATGTCTCACCTTACATCTGGTCATCTAACTCCTCAGACTGCAACCCCCTTGATTATTATGTGTGGGGTGCAGTTGAACTAGAGATCAAAAAAACTCCTTGCAACACCAAAGATGAACTGAAGGCAAGGATTATGGCAGCATTCACCAACTTAAACAAAGTAACCGTTCAAAAGAGTTTCAAGAGATTCCGAAGCCGCCTGGAAGCCGTGGTTTAAGTCAATGGCGATTTTATTGAATAAATTTAATCATTAGGATTTTTTTTTTAATGAGATGTCAGTATTATTTTCATTTTTGCAGAATTTAAACGAAAATGTATCGATCGTACCTATATATATATATATACATATATATATACGAGTGTGGGCTGAAAACTTCATAGGCTAATTATGAAGGAGTGATACTCGAGCTCTGAATATTTAAAAAACTAATTTGGAAATCAGAAAAAGTTAGTGTGTGTGTGTGTGACTGATCCTGTAGTTGAAGTTTCAGCGAGTGGAACTGAGTGGATGGCTGTGATCCAAGGCCAAGTTACCTCCTGATCTCTTTGATCATAAGATTTTTTTTATCATACTTAATCCAAGCTTCGGTAAATTCAAACATACCAGTACCTCGCTTTTCTTTTCCTTTGTGAATGATACCTTGTTATCATGATGTCTGATTTAGCAGCCCAAAAACACAAACAAGCATCGACGTTACTTGCCCTTTCGGAGTTAAACTGTGTCGCATGTATGTATTGTAAATAGCGTAGAAGAGACTCTTCCACAATTAATTTTGACAAGGGAAATCTTATCTAAAAAGACTCAAGCCTTTTAGATTTGGCTTTCAGAAAACAAACCACATTTTTAACTAAGCATGAAAGTTATAAGATCTGTAATGTTAACACCGAATTTTTACAGAAATTTTGATTAGACGGGACCGCAATCACCGTTTATATGCGGTTAGCGTAACGGTTGACGAGTAGGACGGCAAGCAAAGTTCAAATCCTGACCGAGTTCGTGATATTCAATTTCGCTCTAAATTCACTTTTGAAAATATTAATCCATTTCTTCTCTCCCCACCTATGGGTTAAATAAAAATGCAAACCGGGTCGTTAATTGACAACCAGCCTATAAGAAGAAAAGCTTCAAAACCAGTTTGGCGTGGGTCTGGAAATTCTGACACTGAAAATTTGCTTTTGTTACAGAAACCACAGCAGTAACACCTAGCGTGGTGAGGCTGTGACCCTAGCGTAGTGAAGCTGTGGCCCTAGCGTGATGAGACTGCGTCTCTATGCTCCACAGGCGTGTTCAAATGAATCAAAGAGAGAGAAAAAAAGAAGAGAAAGCAATAAACGTAAATATATTCATATTTATTTTTATAATTTTATATATTTTTTATTTATTGCTCCCCAGCTATGGGTTAATTAGAAACGCAGACAGAGGTCTATTCTTGATTGACATCCAGTCTAAGACAATGCAAGTTTCAAAATCAGTTTGGCATGGGGCTTGCAATTCCGACACATAAAATTTATTTTTGCTATGGAAGTCACAGCAGTAATAGTTAGCGTGGTGAGGCTGTGGCTCTAGTGTGGTGAGGCTGTGGCTCTATGCTCCAAAAGGGAATTCAAATGAATCAAAGAGAGTGGAAAAAAGAAATAAACATTTTGAGCCATTTTCTTGTCATAGAACCGTAAGTTCTATGACAAGAGCTTCTTCTCTCTCGTTTGGGGAACTTTCTTCTGATTTCTTGCTTCCCAGTCAACTTTGATTAAAATTTTTTAAAAATTAAAATACAATGTCAATCATTATCGTCTTTTTCATAAATTCTGTTCTTTGATCATCCTTAGTTTTAATAATGCATTTTCTAATATTCTTTTACACTCAGGCTTACGGCCACGTCACGCTGGAGCACCGGTTCCCACAGGATCACCGAAATTAAGCAACGTCGAGCCTGGTCAGTACCTAGATAGTCGACAGCTTGGGAATAACAGGAGCTGTAAGCTTAAATATACGGGTGGTATAATGTGCTTACGACCATATCACATTGAAATACCGGTCCCGTACGATCATCGAGGTTAAGCAACGTCGAGCCTGATCAGTACCTTGATGGGTGATAGCTTAGGATTACTAAATGCTGTAAGCTTGGATGTGCGGGTGGTGTAATGGACGTACAACCACAATCAGTTTGAAACACTTGTTCCCGTACAATCACCAAAGTTAAGCAACAACGGACCTGGTTTGTACCTAGATTGTTAACAGCTTGGGAATACCAGGTGTTCTAAGCTTGAATGTGCCGACGATATAATCAGCTTATGGTCATATCACGTTGAAACATCGATTCCCGTACGATTACCGAATTTAATCAAATTCGAACCTGGTCAGTACATTGATGGGTGACCGCTTGGGAATACCAGGTACTGTAAGCTTGGATGTAAGGATGGACATAGGACCAGATCTTGGGAATACCAGGTACTGTAAGCTTGGATGTAAGGATGGACATAGGACCAGATCTTGGGAATACCAGGTACTGTAAGCTTGGATGTAAGGATGGACATAGGACCAGATCTTGGGAATACCAGGTACTGTAAGCTTGGATGTAAGGATGGACATAGGACCAGATCTTGGGAATACCAGGTATAAGCTTGGATGTAAGGATGGACATAGGACCAGATCTTGGGAATACCAGGTACTGTAAGCTTGGATGTAAGGATGGACATAGGACCAGATCTTGGGAATACCAGGTACTGTAAGCTTGGATGTAAGGATGGACATAGGACCAGATCTTGGGATGTACTGTAAGCTTGGATGGATGGACATAGGACCAGATCTTGGGAATACCAGGTACTGTAAGCTTGGATGTAAGGATGGACATAGGACCAGATCTTGGGAATACCAGGTACTGTAAGCTTGGATGTAAGGATGGACATAGGACCAGATCTTGGGAATACCAGGTACTGTAAGCTTGGATGTAAGGATGGACATAGGACCAGATCTTGGGAATACCAGGTACTGTAAGCTTGGATGTAAGGATGGACATAGGACCAGATCTTGGGAATACCAGGTACTGTATGAACGTACGGGTGGTATAATGAGCTTACGGTCATATTACGTCGAAACACCGGTTCTCTTATGATAACCGGAGTTAAGCAACGTCGAGCCTGGCTAGTATCTTGATGGGTGACAGCTTTGGCACAGAAGGTTCTCTAAGCTTGGATGTGCGGGCGATATAATGGCTTTATGGCCATAATACGTTAAAACACCGGTGCTGTAAGCTTGGATGTGTGGCGGGGGGGGGGGTTAATGGACACACATGTTGAAACACTGGTTCTCGTACGATCACCGAAGTTAAGCAACGTCGAGCCTAGTCAGTATCTAAATGGGTGACCGCGTAGGAATACTAGGTGCTGTAAGTTTGGATGTGCAGGTGGTGTAAGAGATAGAGTTCTAATGTCAGTCAGGTTCGTTATATTCATTTACACGCAAATACCAGTGGGAAATGTATGAATCCACCTCTCCTCCCTTTAGCGTTATGAAGTACCTGAGTACCCCCGTCCCCACATGGTAAATAGTACGCTCTCTTACTGAGAGAGTGGCAATTGAACAGAACTGAGGTGGTATTGCACCTGAGTATTTCGACACGAACTTTTGTTTGTAGACTTTACCGATTTGTCGGAATAGTAAGTGTGATGTTTGAGACTATTATTGTGCCTCGTTTTTTTGTGTTTTATTAACCGTTTGTCCGTATTCTGTGAGGGGAATATCCTCCTTCGATGGCGGAGGAATCCCAACAAAAAAGAGTCATTGGCCACACCACCGTGGACCTCAGCATGGGCGGCGTAAAGGCCCAAAAATGATGCAGAAGATAATGGAAGAGACACTGAAGGCATTAAATATTGGGACCAAAGTGTTGGCCCGCAGGTCAAATGTTATGTGGGACATTCTGCTGGGAACAGAGGAGGCTACGAAAACATTAGCTGGCAGCACACCCACCACCAAGTCTCTCAGACTGCAAACCGAATACATGGGCAGCCGGAGGAGCCGCATTACTTTCTATAGGGTACCCATGTATATCACTGCTGATTTTCCGGGGAACTTTTTCTCAGATTATGGCTTTGTGGTTCCAGTCACCTGGCAAAGTTGTGTCCGGACAGAAACCCGGCACCACAGCCTCAATCAACAACAGAGCAACCCAGGGCGGAAGAACCAAAGAAGGCACTAGTGGTTCTGGCGAGTGGGCTGAAGTAGTGAGGAGGGGAGCCAACTCCGCCTCCCCAGCAGGATGTCCCTGCAAAAGGCACTACCAAGCAGCAGCCGATACAGCAGCAGCAGCAGCCGCCAAAACAGAAGCATCAGCAGCCTAAGCCGCACCGACAGACCCACCAACATGTAAGTAGAGGAAATGCCTGCAATAAGATCCTCCACACTGAAAAGGGGGATAGATGAAGAAGTGGAAGAGGGCCTGATGTTTTCCAATAGAGAAAGGAAGTGTGGTCGGAGTAGGGCGGAGAGGGTCCTGGTCGATGCCAAGACAAAATCTGCTCCTGCTTCGCCAGCAAAAAGTGAAAGAGATCTCCTACCAGATAAAACAAGGAGCCTCCCTTCCTCCCCTACTAGAGCTCTGTCTTCTTCTTCTTCTTCTTCTCACAACCAGTCCCAAAGAAAGAAGAAACTACATTTTCCATTTTCCTATTTGGGAAGGTTAATTTAAGAGCCCTATATAGAGAAGGGTGGAGGAGAACCGGGACCCTCCCAGAACAAAAATGTGATAATTTCTTTAGCTCCGGAGATTTTGTCTGAGCTTCAGGAGGGCATTTTAGCTCCTGCAAGATAGTCCCATGACTTAAGGTTTTCCCGGGTGTTTCTTATAAGGGTAATAACACTGGGGGCGCCAGGAATGTTCCTTGGACCCTCCGTTGACAGGAAGTCCGTCAACGGAGTTACATTTGAATAGAGGCCTCAAGAAGCACTTCTTCTGAGAGGACCTCACAGTCAACAACTTTTCGCCTCCATTCTTGGCGTGTGGTTCGGGCCGCACTTCAACTAAATTAGAATTGGTTAGAGGTACAGGCAAAGGTCGAGGAGTCGGTCCGGACTTGGCTCCGAGGGAGATTATCCTTAAAGGGTAGAACTGAGGCGTGTGCCACTTACGTCTTGCCTATCATCCTTTACCGGTGGCTGTACTTAATCTTTTCAGGGCCCGATCGACCGTTTGTTGACCACCTTCTTGTGGGGTGATCGCAGACATTGGGTCTGTAAAGAAGCCTGTTTCAGGCGTCCGTGTCATGGGAGGAGGTTCTGGGATTGCCACACCTGGCGAGTCACGTTTTGACGGAGGACTCGAATTCGGCACGGAGTGTTAAGGACACTTTCCCTAGCCTTAACATCACTCCTCCCATTTATTGGGTTAGGCGCCATCGTTGTCGTGGAAGGTTGTCGAGTTTCCAGAGCGAGTGTCAGTCGGCCTTGAAGGACTTTCCTCGGTCCAGTGACTTTTCTCGGCCTCGGAGACTATTGTATCGTGAATTCGTGGAGAGGTTGCAAAGAATCCTCTATTTGGCCGGCTTGTCGGCATCACAGTTGCGCTCTTTCTGGTCTTGGATGCCAGCAGTGGATTATCCCAGCAACCCTAAGTTTTCGCTTAGCTGGCGATTGATTTGGAACGAGCTACCTCTCAGTGATTTAACCTTCATATGGGGTGAGGCAGATTTGCCCGACTGTCATCGGTGTGATCTTGGCTTCGGGGAAACGGCTTCGCACACCTTCTACCATCGTCGGCAAGTTGACGGCTTGTATCACTCCAGATCAGCTCGTGCCCATCGATCTCGCGTACGCGTGAGACAATGTGTCGCCCCCGTTTTTCCGGGGTAAAACGGATGGTATTTTTTACGTTGCTAGCCGTGACCAGAATGGTGGTGTGGATGTCACCACAGTAGGGAATCTTGCGAGATGAACGTTATTCGCATCAGGATCTGGCTGTTTTCTTTAAGCATCAGGTAAGGATAAAAATCAGATCTGATAGAAAGCGATTGTTTTCGACGGATTTCAGCGAAAGGTGGGTAACTGAGGCCAGCCTGGTTCGTGTGGACGAGGCTAGCTTTGATTTTCTCTTTTAAGTCCCCTTGATGCAACGGGGCTGTGACCCCCACCCCTGATTAAGTTAAACACTATTATGTTTTCCTAGTTAATGTGAATAAGTCTTGTTCCCGGTCTGTTCCCGGCATTCTCCTTTGTTATGAGCCATGTTGAGATTTCCAACATCCCCAGTTTGTTTTTTTCGCTGTTTTCATCTAGGCTGGGTCAGCCTTTGATTTTCCCATTGCCTCATTTATTTTTATCCTTCCCATTCCATTGGTGAGTGTGTGTTTCTTGATTCTGTCTATCGGCAGAATACAGCGTCCTCTCTTATTATTTTGAGGGGTGGGCGGGTTCTAATAACATTTGTTTTGATTTTATTTGTCGGGAGAATGGAAAATACGTCTGTTGTCGGGAAATTCGATCCAAGTGAACACGAAACGTAAGCGCATTACATACTTCCGGGAAAGCCTGAGAAAATATCTTTCGAGGAAACTGTCTTGATTCTGGAAAAAAAATTTGGGAAAAATGTTCTTTTTAAACAAAATGTTTAAACCTTAAAAAGAAAAGTGGGGAAGATTACTCGATTTATTAATGGAATTGTCAGTAGAGAGTGCGATAAGTTTAAACTGAAAGAATTTACTACTGATATGTTTAAGTGCTTGATTTTTTGTACAAGGACAAACGTCTCCAAAGCATGCCGAGATCAGAATGACAATTTTGTCTAAATTAGAAAAAAAAATCATAAAATCAATTTGCAAATGGTAACAAAAGAATGCAAACGAATAGAAAATCTTCGACACCACACGGCAAATAATGAGAAATGCAACGTATCAAATATTCAGACGATTAAGCAAAGATAACATAAAGAAAATGTTGCCCGCTAAATTAAATCTTTTTTTATGGCTGTGGACAAATTCATTATTACAAGGAATGCCCATTTAGAAAAAAGGAATGCTTTAATTGTGGCAAAAAAGGACAAGCATACGAATTATAGAAAACCCAAAAATCAAAATGGGTCAAGAGTTGAAAAAAACAGTTAACTCAACTTCAATGGAAAACAAAGGAATAAAAATAAGAAGAAAGTTTGTGAATGTACAGATGAACAAGTAAAATATTAAATTCTAATTGGATACTGGTTCAGATCTGACGTTGATAAATGAACAAACTTGGGAAAAAATGGCAGACCAATTTTATGAATTGCTCATACCATTACAGAAAATAAACTAAATTTTGAAGGAGAATTTTACACAAATGTGAAATTTATGGGTAAAACTATATATTAAAAGGATTCCTTATGAAACGAACACAGAACCTCTTCGGTATGGATTGAGTCATTCAATCTTCTCAACCAACCAATTAATTTGTTCTGCTTTAGTGTTATTTCCTGAAATTTTTTCTGAGGGTCTTGGCAGGTCCACCAGAGCTAAAGCGATATTCAAACTGAAAGATGTGACGCCTATATTTAGACCAAAACGAAAAGTACTCTTTGCAGAGGAAGCTTCCATTAGTAAGGAGTTGAACCGGTTAGAAAAATTAGCGTGTTAAGCAAAACAGACTACTGTGAGTGGACAAGCCCTTTCGTTTACGTTAAAAAGAAAAATAATAAAATTAGAGTCTGCACAGATTTTTGTACAGGATTGAACGATTGTTTGGACTCATACAATTACCCTCTGCAGAGTCCGGAAAACGTATTCGCGGCAGAGTGTTCTCAAAACTCGGTTTATCTGAGGCGTGCCTCCAGATTCTTGTCTACGAAGAATGTGCGAAGTATTTAACTATAAATACGCATAAGGGCCTGTATAGATTCAACAGGCTGCCATAAAATTCGCGCCCTGCCAATAAGCCATAGTCACTCGGAGCAGCATCGGGAATGAATGGTGGATGTGGAAGAATCTCAACACCGTCCTTCTGTTTGAAATTCTCCTTAGTCAACCTGACAGTGTGTGGCCTCTCATTGTCTTGCTGAAGCAAAGCCCAACATTGATTGATCAAGGATACTTCTTTAGATTGTCGTATACTCGGTTTAACTGATGGTAATACAGTTTAGTGTTGATGGCAAGCTCGAAATTCAGTACTCCTTAGCAATTCCACCAGGCAGAGATCAAGATTTGTTGTTTTCTTTCCGCTTCCTAAGCTATTCAGACCTTTCTGTACAGCCGAGTATTTTCCACTCTGAAAACTCTTTCCCCTCAAATGCAATGTTGCAAGCCTATCATTATTCTATCGCTATTTCCATGGCAAATGTTCAAATGAGCCCCAGTCCACTATCTCAGGCGTTTACAGCTACTTCCACGGAGTTGAATCGTCTACACAGATTTTTGTAAGTAGAAAAACC